TGCTCTCATGGAATGATCACCATAGCACAAATTAGGTCCTCCCTTAAAGAGGGCACGTATTGCGGTAAGACCTGGAAAACCGACACCCTGTGTTGTGGTTGTGTACGATCGGTTAGCCACAACACCTGATTGGTAGGTCCCTCTTAGCTGGGTGTAATCTGGCCAATGGGACGCAGTCCAACCCGTTTGACGTGACCCAGAGCTTCCTCTTTCAACACGTGCATTCGGAACACCCGCCCACCTCTCCCTACTTTTAGGGCTTTGCACTTGACCTTGCTATGCCATCATCTGTCGTCTGTCATTCGGACAGGGGCACAGCAGGAATTTTCCCCACTTGGCTGATTGGCTGTTGCCATTTGTGTTTCACCTACCGTGTAGCAAATCGTCACAACTTGTAAGGTTGTGGATAGGCTGTGGTTCAGGTGATAGGGTTGGGAGAATGCTCTTGCCATCCCTATGTGAAGGGTATTCCGTTAAAGGAATCCAGGGACCTGATGGTTTGATCATTTAAATGTATGGTGTGTATCTGCATAACACTTACCTTACCGTGCACAGATTTCAATCAAATTTGGTTAAGAACTTAATTCGTTGTGGAGGTCCATTCTTAACCTGAAACTTTTCTTAACCTGAGGTACCACTTTAGCTAATGGGGCCTACTGCTGCTGCCGCACTGCTGCCATGTGATTTCTGTTCTCATCCTGAAGCAAAGTTCTTAACCCAAGATCCTATTTTTGGGTTGCAGAGTCTGTAACCTGAAGCGTTTGTAACCCTAAGAACCATTGTATCACTTTTTTAAAAAGGTCCCTACCATTGTATTATTTAGGTGTGAAATTGTTCCTGCAAGATCTAGATTGCACCTCTCATGCAATTATTTGTTGCCATTGCTGTTGTTTTTAACAAGGTGCAAATCACATTTATTGCAACCGAGTGTATGCATGGACCATTTAAAAGATGTATAAGGCTTTTTGCACATGGTATTTTGCATTAGAATAATTAAAGTGAGAAAAGGCTGAAGAGATGGGGGGAATTCCTTGGACCTCACTCAAGCATGCCCAGGAGACCCATCTTTAACAGACTCATACCACTTTAAAGTCTTTATATACTCTGGGTATTTCTGTGGAGGATACATTAGCATTAAATATGTATGCTCCTTGTTCAGAAAAATGCAGAGATAAACCTATGCAATAAAGCAGGTTTTCAGATTCATGCCATAAAGACTACTGTATGGATACAAGCAATATATATTCATCTAATAAAATAAAATGTATTATAACTATATATTACAGCAAGAGGAAACTTGACTAAAATAGTCTAAAACAATATCATGGTAGCCAAATGCCTATGAAGTTCAGCTGATGATCAGGATGACGTTACTGTCACCTCTCTACTCATCAAATGATGTATTTGATGACCCAGCAGGAGGGCAGTGTGTATCTGTGTCAGTGGATTTGGCTCTACCCACCCTAGGACTGTGTCTACTATTAAATACATACCGTATTTTTTGCTCTATAAGACTCACTTTTTTCCTCCTAAAAAGTAAGGGGAAATGTGTGTGCATCTTATGGAGCGAATGCAGGCTGTGCAGCTATCCCAGAAGCCAGAACAGCAAGAAGGATTGCTGCTTTCTCTGCGCAGCGATCCCTCTTGTTGTTCTGGCTTCTGAGATTCAGAATATATTTTTTCTTGTTTTCCTCCTCCAAAAACTAGGTGCGTCTTATGGTCTGGTGCGTCTTATAGAGCGAAAAATACAGTATTATTGCCACCACCAAACCAGTGGGGTCTTCCTCCAGAAGGGAGAAGATGCTTGGGAGGCTGGATCAAGCCCCTGAACTCGAGGTTAGTAACTGCTGTCCTGTGCATCAAGTGCTTTGAAGTATTTGACAATACCCCCATCGTTCAGCCGGGACACTGAGGTCCAGCTCCGAGGGTCTTCTGGCGGTTCCCTTACTGCAAGAAGTGAAGCTAAAGGGAACCAGGCAGAGGGCCTTCTCAGTATTGGCACCCGCCCTGTGGAATGCCCTGCCATCAGATGTCAAGGAAATAAGATGTCAAGGAAATTAGAAGACTTCTGAAGGCAGCCCTGTTTAGGGAAATTTTTAATGTTTGATGTTTTGTTGCATTATTATTATTATTATTATTATTATTATGCTGGGAGCCAGCCAGAGTGGCTAGGGCAGGGTATAAATAAATTGTTGTTCTTGTTGTTGCTGTTGCTGTTGTGGCTTTTCGGTTTAGAAGCGAACAATGGAGCTGCATGAAAGGCAATTCTGCACCTTCTAATTGATGGCTAAATGTCCTGATGAAAGTCCAATCTAAAATAAAGACACAGTAAGAGACACTGGCTTTTTGTTGTTGTTTTGGCACAATCTGTTACTGATATTTGCATGAGCAGCAAAAGCAACATGCAGCATATTTTACAATCTGCTAATGTGTATCCTAGACAGCATCTTAAAAAGTAGAGACATCACCTTGCCAACAAAGGTCCGTATAGTAAAAGCTATGGTTTTCCCAGTAGTAATGTATGGAAGTGAGAGCTGGACCATAAAGAAGGTTGATCGCCGAAGAATTGATGCTTTTGAATTATGGTGCTGAAGGAGACTCTTGAGAGTCTCATGGACTGCAAGAAGATCAAACCTATCCATTCTTAAGGAAATCAGCCTTGAGTGCTCACTGGAAGGACAGATCGTGAAGCTGAGGCTCCAATACTTTGGCCACCTCATGAGAAGAGAAGACTCCCTGGAAAAGACCCTGATGTTGGGAAAGATGGAGGGCACAAGGAGAAGGGGACGACAGAGGATGAGATGGTTGGACAGTGTTCTCGAAGCTGCCAGCATGAGTTTGACCAAACAGCGGGAAGCAGTGGAAGACAGAAGTGCCTGGCGTGCTCTGGTCCATGGGGTCACGAAGAGTCGGACACGACTAAATGACTAAACAACAACAACAACAATGTGTATCCTCCTCTTATTGGGGAAGGAAATAGATGCAAAATCTTGTGCTTTAGGAAAGGGTTGCAAGTCTCTGCAAGGCTGGTTGGGACAGAATGCTCTCTTCTCCCTAGATATTGTATTGCCCTCTATCAATCATTATGAGATCTTTTTTCAGTGGTACATTTAATGGAAACCATCTCCAGCTCACTAGAAGCCGAGAAAAAGGAAACAAATTTATATCAGAGTGGGGAAGAAGAAGATATAATAGCAATTAGGAAAGTTAAGAGAGAATGTGCTTGGCAATTAGCCAAAGGCAACACATTTAAAATTGATAAAAGAAAATGATTCTTAATAGAAAACGCTTTGATTCTTTAGAGAAAAGTGGACAGCGTGCAAAATTGTGAAACCATGAGCGGGTTGCTCTGACATGCTCATCAGGTAAAATGAATGCCAGCAGTGCTGCCTAATATTTCTGATTATAGACAGGCCTGAGCATCCCAGCATGTCAATCCAGTATTGGCCAGGCATTTCCAGTCAGCAGAAATACATATGTTCTTCTTTTATATCGGGCTCCCCACTCCCCAGCAACGCAGGAAAACAGAGCCTCCACTGTTCAGGAGAGGCCTCTCGCCCTCTGGTGAAGGTTGAGGAGTATTTGGGGCAAAGATATCAGTTTTCCAAGCTCCCTTCCAACCATAACATGGTGGGATAGCTCAGTCAGTAGAGTATGTTGTAAACAAAATCTGCCCTTTTCCCTTATGGGGTACCCAAGAGCCCATATAGAGTCCTTACATAGGTTCCCTATTGGTAGGAGAAAATAACAGAGGCCAACCAGAGAATATTGAGAAGCAAAGCAGCTAGTAAGCCTGATCTTTATTGATCTGTTGCAACAGGGTGCTCCCCTCACATGCAGGAAAGGAGGAAGAACCCGAACAAAGGTGTGCCTGCCCTTATATAGACATTTTAAATTCCTTGCCCTGGAGCTCAAGACTACACCTCCATACATCACAGAAGGGGTATAGCCCAAGACCACCCCCCAGATACATCATACCTACATCACAGAAAAGGCGGTCTACAACAGAAATTTGAGTGTTGTTTTTTTCCTGTCTGGCAGGTTTTTCTGATAACGCCTTATCTGATTGCCTGGTGATTATCCACTTCCTGAGACAATGGGAAAGCTCCCTCACCCCCTCCCTCCTTGCAGAGAAAACATTTGGTCAGTTCCAAAGTGGTTTCAGGGAGTCAAAATGGTTTCAGGAAGGTCTTCCTGTGCTGCTGCAGACATTGGTACATTTATGAACATTTATTTTTTATATATATATGACCTTAAAATTCTTATAACAAGTATAAGACTCTTGATCTCAGAATTGTGGGTTTGAGTCCCACTTTGCGTGAAAGATTCCTGCATCGCAGGGAGTTGGACTAGATTGCCCTCATATTCCCTTCCAGCCCTACAGTTCTATGCTTCATGTAGCCACTGGCTACAACCCTTCTGCGGACAGACGGTCATTTACCCTCGCAAGATTCAACGTGCTGCCATCTGCCTCATTGCAGGGCAGATTAGAGGGTAAACCATACTCAGAATGAGTCTGCTCCTGTGGCTTGATGGAGGTAGAAACTGTCTCTCATGCCTTGTTACGCTGCCGTTTCTACGGGGATATACGCTCAGTATTTATTCAGCATGAGTTTGACCAAACTGCAGGAGGCAGTGGAAGACAAGAGTGCCTGGTGTGCTCTGGTCCATGGGGTCACGAAGAGTCGGACACGACTAAACGACTAAACAACAACAACAAATGCAAAAATCTCCAAATGAATCCGAACTTCAATGTCTAAAATTCCTGGTAGAGGACAAGGATCCTGATATCACATTGTTGTTGTTGTTTAGTCGTTTAGTCGTGTCCGACTCTTCGTGACCCCATGGACCAGAGCACGCCAGGCACTCCTGTCTTCCACTGCCTCCCGCAGTTTAGTCAAACTCATGCTGGTAGCTTCAAGAACACTGTCCAACCATCTCGTTCTCTGTCATCCCCTTCTCCTTGTGCCCTCCATCTTTCCCAACATCAGGGTCTTTTCCAGGGAGTCTTCTCTTCTCATGTGGTGGCCAAAGTATTGGAGTCTCAGCTTCAGGATCTGTCCTTCCAGTGAAGGACATTAAGGGTAGCCAAATCACATTAAGGGTAGCCAAATTCTGTGTGATTGCCATAAAACTTTAATGATAATTTCAGGTTATATGTTAGTGACCAAGTTTTAATTTATATATATATATATAAATTGTTGCTATATCTGTATTGTCTCTGTTATACCTAATTGCAAATTCAAATGTATCCCTATCGTGTTTTATGATTTCCTTGATACTGTATGTGGGCTGAAACTGGTCTGTGACCGAAATAATAAATTCATTCATTCAACCCTTCTGCATTTTTCTTTTTCTTTTTATCCTGACAACCAAATGGTTACACAAGTCATTAAAGCTCTGGTTTTCAGACATTTGTTTGAAGCTCATACAGGGAGTGCTCCCATTTTCTGTGAAAAAGCAGAAAGACAAACATGTATGAAACTCTATACACACGTATCTGAGATTAAACACCCCTAGTGCAGAAAATAACACATGCCTCTCATTCAGCTGTACATTAGTAATTTCAACTTTGAAATACACAAGTAATGCATCACAGGGGCAAACAACCTCAGAGCTGAATACCAGCAATGAGATATTAATGGGTCTGCTATTTAGTAACAGCAAGAGAGCATCCCATCTCATAAATGTTTTTTCTTTCCTCCTCTAGTCTTCTTGTAAATTGAGTCCTCAATATGTCCTTGGTAAATGAAAAATATCGCTGGCATGAGGAGACCAACAGGCAGCCCCTTCAGATACTTTAAATGATAATCACCTCAGCAGGTCCTTTTTGCCCCAGAGTAATGGCTGAAATCCGAACACAGTCTTATAAACAAAATTTTTACAGGAGCTCTTGACAACTACCCTTTTTTTGTACTTCACCACAGCTATTTACCTTTATTGGGCAGCAGCTTCCGTGGGGAACAAAAAGGGATTGTCCAGGTCTAAGACTCTATCATTCATCTTTTAGAGCCATTTGAAGTGAACAGGACTCTGGAGATTTCAAATAATTTACCATCCTCCTTTCGGTAGCTCCATCAGAACTTATTTATTTATTTTCTCCAAGGGGACTGTAAGATTCTTGACTGCTGGGCCCAAGCACTGATGCTACACGGTTAAGTGGTTGAAAGTGGTGGAATTATATAGAAAACACATTTCCCGGCGTCATTTGGTCCTCCTCGCTGCTTCGCAACAAGGATTCCCGGTGTGCACTCTTGCCGAGAAACAAGACACATATTTACAGATATTCTGAAGTCAGGCGATTTCCTACATTTAAATTTGAATTTGGGGGTGGAGTAAAAGAGGAATGATGGATTTTAGCTGTGTGCTTTCCGTAGCAGAGGAAAGCCAAAAATTCTAACTCATGTGCCTCTGTAGGTCTATGAACATAATAAGATAGAAAGAAAATAAAAGTATTTAGAATGAGGTAATCAGCATTTACTGGAGAATCTACTATGACCCCCAGGGATTAATTCTCTCCCCCGCCCCTTCCAAATGCTGCTTATTGTTTGAGAGGTGTAAAGAGAGATCTTACATATGTAATCCGCTTCATATGCACTGTGCTATCAAAAAGCAATCAAGTAGTAATTTTAGCCATAGGGAAACCCTTTGGGATTACATACCCCACTGTTAAGTAAAAGGATTTTTGTCTTTATGACAGCGTTGAAAATAAACATGCACCTATTTATTCCCCTTAGGAACTCACTATCAGGCGTGCTGCCATGTATAATCAAAAGGAATTGTCCTAGCTTTGTGTTTTCTTTAACATTATTTTGCAAGCTAAAGAGCAGAGTTTAGTATTATTGAGGGATTTTCTTTCATGTTTCACTTGCTTGGCTAATGGAACCATATTCCTGGCAGATGATGTAGAAATTCTGTTTCTGGTGGTTCATTATAATGGGGAAATGATGTATTAAACAGTAGATCCATGCATGAATGAATGAAATGTTGCTGGATTTTTATTTTTATTTACGCTTCTAAGATATGCACACACATGTCCCTGCAAAGTTGCATGCGCACGCACACATATGTGAAATAAAATGAGGTGAGAATGGTAGGGAAACCTAGTCCAGAAATTTTGCCTCATTTTTGCCAGTTTTTCTCTTTTTCTTTTTATGATGTTCTAACATCGTCTTTGTCTTGGAGAGCCCCATACACTGCACTGCATTAGATCAGCGGTTGTCAGTGGCTCCCAAAAGGATCACTAGTTAATTTCCACGGTGAGAGATTATGGAGTTCAGATCTGTCTGAAGCTCACATATAGACCAGAAAGCCCCATTCCCACAGAGAAGGCTGAGCTGTTGTTGCTTTCCCTCAATTTGCCCACAGTTTGGTAGACTTCCCATATTGGCCCGAATATAAGCTGCAACCGAATATAAGCCTCACCTGAATATAAGCCACACCTTTAAAATTCAGGGAGGACAAGATGAAATTGTATATTTGAATATAAATATAGATTGGAAATGGCTGTGTATAGTGAATACTTACCTACTTTTAAAAATCTTTACTTTTGATTTTCTTCTTCTATTTCTTTATTTTCTCTTTGTTCTTTTTTCAGATATCTTTTTCAGATATCTTACTGTTTCTTTTTTTCAGATATCTTTCTTTTCATTTCACTTCTTTATTGTGAATAGCATTTTATAGAGGCATAAATAACTGTAAATATGAAAAGAGACAAAATATTCTCTAATTGTTTCCTTGGTTATATGTATTTTCTTTTTTCTTTTGTATTTCCTTTTGTTGTAAATATGTATGTTTTTCTATTTTGTACTTAATAAAATTAATAAATTAGAAAGACTGCCAAAAAAAAAAAAAATCGGGGAGGGGGGGAGGGAAAAAAAAGACAATATCCGAATATAAGCCACTCCCTTAAAATTCCGCAGGCACCCACACCCGTTTTGTTTTACCGTATGTCTGTTTCAGCAGCGATATTGTAAAAACTAATTTTTGTAAGGTTGTGAATTCAAGCCGCACTTTAACTTTTCACGGTTGGAATTGGACGGGGGGGAGTGAGGCTTATATTCAGGCCAATACGGTAATCTACTCTGGGGTGACTCCTGTAGCCAACAGAAGCTGGTGGGAGAGTGACGAGGTTGGAGGGAGGTTGGCGTCTTATAGGCCAGGGACAGCCAGCTTCCAAGAGACTGCAGTCTACTCACACAATTAAAAAGTGGCAGTGATGTACCCCTTTTGGGGGTGTTCAGGACAAAGTTGTTGAGCTATTTTTAGGGAGGAAAGACTCGTTGGGGGGGAGTTCAGGTCAAAGTTGTTGAGCTTTATTTAGGGAGGAAAGGAGGCAAAGGAATAAAATTTAAAAAGCCGCTCAACAAGAGATCGCTAATTAAACAGTCAGCCTCACAGCAAGAGCTCCGTCTTCCGAAAATTATATGAAAATGATGTATAGATGGTATATTACACCACTACAGATAGCAAAAATGTACAAAACCGGGTCAAACACATGTTGGAAATGTAAAGAAAAAGAAGGGACTTTTTATCATATGTGGTGGGAATGTAGAGAAGTTTTTTAAAAAAGGGAAATGATATATAATGAATTGGAGAGAAAAAATGTTTAAAATGACATTTGTAAAAAAACCAGAAGCATTTCTGTTAGGGATTGTAGGACAAGACCTGCCAAGGAAAATAAAGAAGTTATTTATGCATGCTGCAACAGCGGCAAGAGTCTTGATAGCACAAGGATGGAAGAATGAGGAAATCCCAACGAAAGAACAGTGGCAAGAAAAATTGATGAGCTACGCAGAGCTGGCTAAATTGACATACAAATTGCGGGACAAGGACAACTGTGACTTTAAGGAAGAATGGGAGTTTTTTTACAATTTATCCAAAAAGACAACAAAATGAATTGGACTCCTTGGCAGGTTTTGAATAAACATACACAAACTTATTGGTTGATAACATGGTAGATTAATTGGGAACTGTTAAATATGTGATATGATGAAATCCAGATTGGAGGATGTCGATGAAGTCTTTTAGCAATGTAAATACACCAGGGAACAAGAAGGAAAAAAAAATATTCTTTTATTTTGTGTGTTTTTATTGTTGTTAAGTTTTTATGTTGTGTCAAATGTAATGCTTTTCTTTTGTGTTTTTGTCTGTGTGTTATAAGAGAAAACCAATAATATTTTTTTTGGGGGGGGAGATAACATGGTAGATAGACAATGTAAGGATATGTATAATTTTATAACATGCAGAGAATAATATGCGTTGAGAAATCACAGAGCAGAGCTGAGGGAAGTCTCAGGGGGAGGGTTTGATGGGGGAGAGGGGGAAAATAATAAATATTATATATTTTGAGAATTTGTTATGTTGAAATTGTTAATAAAAACATTAAAAAGATACATCCAGAAGAAGAAGAAGAAGAAGAAGAAGAAGAAGAAGAAGAGAGCTCCATCTTCCATTCTAGCAAGCTACAGGGCAGGGCGAGGGGGTGGGGCCGGATGGAGGAGCCAGCGATTGACAGCGATCTACCAAAACCTCCTGGGGATCGATCAGTAGATCGCAATCAACCTGTTAGACATCCCTGTTATAGACCAACCATTGGAGTCGATCCATCACTCCCATCAGTGTGCCTGCACAGTGCCAACCTCAACATTTTTCTATGAAAGGTGTGCCTTTCATAGTTATGTGATCAGGCCTGTGATGTTGGTAGTGGTGTGAGTGCTGTGGAGGAACTGCAAAGAGACTATATATAATATTTTCATTCCTTATATTGTAGGGTTAACATATTCAAATAAACCTTGCATTTTCTATGAGCGGCACAACATGCAGTTCTGTTGGCCATGATTCAACTCCACAGTATTATTTATTAATTTATGAATTCTTCAGTTTTGTTTATACCCTGCTCTTCGTCAAGATCTCAGGATCTTCAAGCTCCCAGAGCACTTTGCAATACACTTTGTGATACAATAAAATACAGCATCAGCCATGACTGCGACTAATTGTTATTGTAGCAGAATAATTACACAGGCGCTGTTTCTTCTATTTTTACATTGTATACTATTCCTTGTATGCTTTATTTTATTTAACTGCTGTCAATTCTTTTCGCAAGCTGTTCTGAAAGGGGCAATGTAAATGGGAGTGCAGCGCTCACTTGAAACAGTTGCATTGCTTGGAAGACGTGTATCCGAAAGAAATTGACAGCATCTTCTCGATTAGACTTCTTCACCTCAACCCATTTTTTCATTCCCTTTACCTTTTCGTTGTCAGGGGGAAAGAGGTTAAATATATATGTTGCATGCGGTACTTTGTAGAGTCAGCAGATTACGGGGCACAGCTGAGCGGCTGCTATAAAGTGAGCAAAATTATACTTCACTAATGAAATCAAATGATGTCTCCTTATGGGATTAGCTGAATGATAATTAAGCCCTCTCTGCTTTCGAATGACACCAACCTGTCAGACGCTCCAGTCTGCTGTTCTTAAAGAGATGGCATTTGTAGACTTTCATCCAATGAAATATGAGACGTCTGCAACCAACATTAATTCCTCATCTATGTCTGAGCCATGATCCTCCTGAATTGTGTGTAGTATATTGGCATCTGCATTAATTTTGCCAGGCAGGAATGATGTTCACAAACGTACAAACCTAGAATATTCTAGGAATGAAAAGAGTATCTGGAATTATAATCATCTGACAAAGTATATACTTACATACATGTGTACAGGTCCAATGAAGCTATAATGTTGTTGTTTGGTCGTTTAGTCGTGTCCGACTCTTTGTGACCCCCTGGACCAGAGCATGCCAGGCACTTCTGTCTTCCACTGCCTCTCGCAGTTTGGTCAAACTCATGCTGGTAGCTTCGAGAACACTGTCCAACCATCTCGTCCTCTGTCGTCCCCTTCTCCTTGTGCCCTCCATCTTTCCCAACATCAGGGTCTTTTCCAGGGAGTCTTCTCTTCTCATGAGGTGGCCAAAGTATTGGAGCCTCAGCTTCAGGATCTGTCCTTCCAGTGAGCACTTAAGGGCTAATTTCCTTCAGAATGGATAGATTTGATCTTCTTGCAGTCCATGGGACTCTCAAGAGTCTCTTCCAGCACCATAATTCAAAAGCATCAATTCTTCGGCGATCAACCTTCTTTATGGTCCAGCTTTCACTTCCATACATCATGTTAGATAAATTGATTTATTGCTCAGATAAGCCTGAGGTCCGGCACGCTTCCCCATCGCGGGCCTCTGCATTCCAGAATCCGATACTTCTGAGCATAGCAGAGTTGAGATCAACAGCGGCTAGAGGAAGCTGCAAAACACTCCAGTGCATTCTTCAGTGTGCTTAAACAAAGTCCACACAGGATCTTAGCAGCTAAAAGCAGCTTTATTTACAGCAGGCTATCCATTATCTATCACAGCGAACAGCATCGCAGAAAACACGTCCTCTCTCCTCAAAAGCGAAAGTAGAGAGAAAGAACAAAGGCTTTAGCCTCTCGGAAATGACGCAGCATTTCCCCCCTCCTTTCCACAGTACGCAGAGCGTACACTCTGAGCTGTTTAACCCTGTAAGCTCAGGTTCTCCTCACACATCACTACTGGGAAAACCATAGCTTTTACTATATGGACCTTTGTTGGCAAGGTGATGTCTCTACTTTTTAAGATGCTGTCTAGGTTTGTCATTGCTTTTCTCCCAAGAAGCAGGGGTCTTTACTGGACCAAATTCAATAGTATATAAACACAGCAGCCCAGGTAATCAGGCAGAGCACTTCCAGAAAAACGGTAATCGTGCTGAACAGTTATTCAGCAAGTATGGAAGAGTGAAGCAAGCAGGTTCTAAATTTAACTCCCTGCTCTCTCTCTCCTGAACAACTGAACAATTGATTATTGTTTTTCTATTCCATATGTACGTTGCTGATGTTTTCTATTCCATTTGCATGACTGGATTAATGAAAGGAACCATCCATGCACCACAGTTTTTTGCACATGATTTCTCATCCACCTTTGGATACCTTGTGTATGTAAGCTTCTCCTTTGCATGTATCACCTAGATAGATTGGGGCAACTGAATTTTAGAATGCCCCAGAGACTCTTAGAAGCCAAATGCACCATTGATTATCTCAACAGTGATAGCACCATGTGCCATTCTGCAGGAATAAAAAATACATTGCAATTAGGACAGTTTGAGTTTTTGTAGAGGTAAAGGTAAAAGACCCCTGGATGGTTAAGTCCCGTTATAGTTGACTATGGGGTGCAGTGCTCAGCTCACTTCAGGCTTTGTCCACAGACATTATCCAGGTCATGTGGCCAGCATCAATGAACCACTTCTGGCACAACAGGACACCATGACGACTGCCAGAGCGCACAGAAACACCGTTTACCTTCCCGCCACAGCGGTACCTATTTATCTACTTATGCTGGTGTCCTGTTGAACTAGATTCAGGTAGGTAGCCATTTTGGTCTGACACAGTCGAAATATAAAAATAAAATAAAATAAAGTCCAGTAGGGACCAACTAAGTTTGTACTTGGTATAAGCTTTCGTGTGTATCTGAAGAAGTCTGCATGAACACGAAAGCTCATACCAAGAACAAACTTATTTGGTCTCTAAGGTGTTACTGGACAATTTTTTAGTGCTTTTGAACTGTTAGGGAGCTCACCCCGTCATGCAGATTTGAACTGCCAACCCTCAGTTGTGTTTTAGACCACAGCGCCACCCACTCCCTTTATGTAAGGGGGGGGGGATTTCAGCAGCTATAGCTTGTCCAGATGAAATTCCCTCTTCTGCTCAACTATTAAAGAGCTTCAGGATCCCTGTACTCTACATCGAACTGCCCTAAACCCTTTGCCAAACTTTTCAACCAAAGACTGAAGCTGCCATACATGGCTCCCCTCCCATCCCATAATATCCGCACAGCAACCATGTGATGCAGGTTGGGCTGGGAGTTGGTGACTGGCCCAAGGTCACCCTATAAGCTTCGTTCACTCTGATCGCTTTAAAATGATCCTTATTTAGACTTAATTTGCCTGTATTAGTTCACTGGAAAGTCCACTCCATTTTGACGATCTTCTTTCATTATGCTACTGATTACACTGCTGGGAACAAGACAACTCCCAGATCATTTCCTAGCTCAACCTCCTTGAAAGTCACCTATCTCCCTTCCTCTGTCTCAAATCTTGCCTTCCGGAGGTAATGAGAGTTCCAAGACTGTCCCTTGTTCTTTAATACCATGCCAACAACAGCATCCCATGCAAAGATCTTTGGGAGTTATAGTCTTCCAGGGGTTCTGGCTTCCTGCAGTTGGACTGCAAACTGCAATTCCCAGGGAACTTTACCCTGGGAAGGTCCTGGCTGAAACTAAAGAAGACCAAAGAGCAGCCCTTCCTTGCCCTTGTGAGTTCCCTTCTTCGCATCTACCGGTAAAAGCTAATATTTTTTAGAAGCGGTTGCTCAGAAGAGAAGGTGCAATTCATTTTTTTTTTCAATTAATAAAGAAGAGTGTATTTTATTTCAGACATAACACAAAACTTTTACAGCATAACAAACGGTGCTCCTCTTTACTTTCTTAGTCTTATGTTCCTCTCTCTATCTCTGCTACCTCCCCCACACTCAAGGACCAACTGCCCTAACTGTTTCTCTATTACCAACTACCTTTCCCAACCAGCCAACCCATGAAATCCAACCAACTACCCACCCACAACTCCCAACGAACTCCTCCCAGAACTAGTTTTATAGACCCGCTGACTCCACCCACCCCCCGGGTCCTGTCTGAGCATCCTATGTGAGAAGGTGCAATTCAAAGAGATTTGAGTTTGGATAGCAATAAGTGCAGTGTTTGAAAATGAGGGGAGGTCTGGTTGTCACCATATCTCTCACTCACTCTTTCAGTCTCTCTCACACACTTCCTAAATTCTTCTCCATCACTAGTGGGGCTACCTTTGAAGGTGACCCAGAATCTACAACTAATCCAGAATGCGGCAGCTAGACTGGTGACTGGGAGCAGCCGCCGAGACCATATAACACCTGTCTTCAAAGACCTACATTGGCTCCCAGTACGTTTCCAAGCACAATTCAAAGTGTTGGTGTTGACCTTTAAAGCCCTAAATGGCCTCGGTCCTGTATACCTGAAGGGGCGTATCCACCCCCATTGTTCTGCCCGGACACTGAGGTCCAGCGCCGAGGGCCTTCTGGCAGTTCCCTCACTGTGAGAAGCCAAGCTACAGAGAACCAGGCAGAGGGCCTTCTCAGTAGTGGCGCCTGCCCTGTGAAATGCCCTCCCATCAGATGTCAAAGAGATAATCAACTACCTGACATTTAGAAGACATCTGAAGGCAGCCCTGTGTGACATTTTATTGTATTTTTAATCTTTGTTGGAAGCTGCCAGAGTGGCTGGGGAAACCCAGCCAGATGGGCAGGGTACAAATAATAAGTTGTTGTTGTTGTTGTTGTTACGATTGAACATTTAGGCTATGGTGTTTATGAGGCCCTCACCCTGGATGCCAGTCTCCTGCCCTACTTGAACTCATCCCAGTCATGCTCAAATGGCTTATAAATGTTATTCATTTTAAAGCAGCCTTTCATTCTTCTTTTTTCAAGCATGCATTGCTTCCCTCACATTATATCAAACGCCCACTCACGTCCAGCATGAGTCCAAATTTAGTATCCGAAGTTGGACTAGGAATTTTTTGATTGAGATTAACTCACCATGAATGCATTATAAATATACTGATTTTAGCTGATGTGAGTCATGGGAAGGAAGTCAATGGAATAATTCACATAAGCTCTGCAAGACCTAAAATACGTTAAGTACAGATTCTCTATATTCATGGTCCAAACCATGACAGAGAAGACTGAGGAGTTGAGGGAAAGGGATTCTGCACAAAAGATTGCCTGACTCGCTCTTATCGTCATCAAAAATTATCCCGCTGAAAGCATTTCTCTAATTTATTTTCTTTTATGAAACAGAAATGCATGGCACAACATGATAGAAGGCTGTAAAATTGCTTTTTATTGTATTTGGTTTGATTGTGTGCCACGTTTGCTCGACCACTTTCCCGTACTCACAGCCATGAAGAAAAGCATCTTCTCCCCCCCCCTTAGATGAAACACAAATAAGCAAATAATAATTGAGACCTAAAAGCAAATACAGCACAGCTTGACTCAGAGAATGCAGAACTGCCGTCTGTTCAAAAGACTCTACGCTAGCTTCATTTGTGAAAACTTTGGTGTGACCAAGTTAAAAAAGAACCTGTAGTTTAAAGGATACAGTTTTTAGTAGCATCCTCACATGATTAACATTCAGTGCAGTTCCATGCAGAGCAAAGGTGCACCCCAGTTTTAGACCTAGTTAAGTGTGTCTTTCAGAGGTGGCTAGCAAGTGACTCCATATGTTATTGTCCTCCAACTCCCAATAGCCTCAGTGACCATGGGTCAAGTAGGATGGGAATTGCGGTTCAATAACATCTGGAGGGAATCTATTGGGAAAGGCTGACTTAAGATTTAACTGGTATGTATGTAAACAACTCTATCACATGTGATTACAGTTGCAGTGTGTGGTAACCAGGGCTTTTTTCAGCCAGAACTTGCCGGAACTCAGTTCCGGCACCTCTCAGGTGGGCGCCATTGCCATCATAAGAGAACAAGGAAGGTGTTCATGGTGAGTTCCAACACCTTTTTTTCTAGAAAAATAGCCTTGGTATTGTCGCATACATAACTTAGGGCAGTCATGGCCAAACTTGGCCCTCCAGCTGTTTTGGGACTACAGTTCCCGTCATCCCTGACAACTGGTCCTGTTAGCTAGGGATGATGGGAGTTGTAATCCCAAAACAGCTGGAGGGCCATGTTTGGCCATGCCTGACTTAGGGTGTGTGAAGACATCACTTTTGCCACGTTTCCCCATTTTCAATCAGTTGTGGGGTGTTACCAGTGTGATATTGTCGCTGCAATACACTTGAAGAAGTGTAGCAATTAACCTACACTAGCTCATAAAAGGTAAAGATAAAGGACCACTGGATGGTTAAGTCCAGTCAAAGGCGACTATGGGGTTGCGGCGCCAATCTCGCTTTCAGGCTGAGGGAGCCGGTGTTTGTCCACAGACAGCTTTCTGGGTCATGTGGCCAGCATAACTAAACTGCTTCTGCCACAACGGGACGGACACTGTGACGGAAACCAGAGCACATGGAAACGCCGTTTACCTTCCCACCACAGTGGTACCTATTTATCTACTTGTGCTGGTATGCTTTCAAACTGCTAGGTTGGCAGAAGCTGGAACTAGCTCATACCACCTGGTAATATCATACTGGTAACAGGGAGCATACTGAACTTTATTTCACACTGTAGTCAAATTCTGAACTCTTCACATGCTAGACTTACAAGTGCCATTTGAGACTCAGCTATCCATATCCATTCTAAATCTTGGGTTCACAACTGAACTGAACTCAGTACATG